ACAGGCGGCCGGGCGCCCCCGCGATGGCCCCACCCCGGGTGACCCGCACACGCACGCCCGCAGATGACCGCGGGCCGGCACCTCGCGAGGGAACTGGGCAGTCTGCGTCCCTCGGGCGCCGCCCCGCGATGACCGGCCTCGCTGTCCACAGGCCTCCGACTGACCGGCTGCGGGACCACAGTGCATGCGCAGGACGATAGCCGTTGGGGCGGGAACGGGGCGGGGCTTCCAGTGGGCGGAGATTTGCTGTGGGCGTGGCTTCTGGTGGGCGTGGTCAGTGAGTGGGGTGACGCGAGGCCCGGGAGAGGCTGTGATGGACATCACCTGGCCCAGGGATCGACGGGATGGTTCTGGGGGCGGGGCATGCGAGGAGTTGGGCGGGGCATGTGGGGAGTTGGGCGGGGTAAGCGGGGAGCTGGGCGGGGCATGCGGGGAGCTGGGCGGGGCCTACGGAACGGGGAAGGCCTTTCTTCCTAGTCTTAGTGTGGAAGCCAGCTGACACGTGTTGAGCATCACAGCTGCACACAAGCCCCAAGCCCCACGCCCTGCTTGCAGGAACGTGATAACGGCACCAGGTGCACTGGCTGGAATCCAACCACGTCCTTTACAGCCTTTGAAAACCCACTGGAGGGTCAGCTGTGGGCCGGTTCGGACTGGACAATACTCAACAAGGGGCCTGAGATGCGTCCTCCCGACCTGACTTCCCACTTTGGTCATTAAAGTAGAATTTCATAACTGGGTCTGGGCTGGGTTCAACTTAGGAAGGGTGTTCCTAGATGTAACGCTAAATTCTCCCTCCCCCATACTGAAGTCTTTACTGCAGTGAAGCTGGTGCTCCCGTGTCCCCCAGTACCTTGATTTTGCAGAGGGACGCTGACAATTGCAGTGGCCTCCGCTGCCCCCTCCCCTGCATCTCCACGCAGACAGCCCACCCTGGCCCACCAGCAACACTGGGGGCCTCCTCTTCCCCAGGGCGCGGGCAGATCTGAACAACCGACCCCTCTGTTAGCAGTCAATGCTTACTTAACTCCTGCACCACCAGAGCACCTTATGTGTGCCTTGGTGGCCCCGTGGTTGGTTCTGACAGCTCACATCCAGCCAGCGCTCCCCAAATGCCAGACCTGTGGGAGACAGCAGATCTCCATCTCCAGACAGAGGAGCCCATCTGGAAACCAGGGCAGCTCAGGGTCCCAGGACTCCGCCAGGCCTTGACCTGGCCCCACAGTACGCTGGTCAGGATGAAAGGTCTGGCATCCCTCCCAGGCCTGCTGGACCTGTACAGCTATTGTCTTGCCATTGGGTCTCAGCTCAACCCCTTTCTGTCAGCCTCTTAACTTGTCAAGTTCCAGCATCCATGTCTCATCCTGGGGGATAGTGTTTATGCGGGGGTGGGGGGTGCGCATCCTGGGGAAGGTTGCTTATTTGGGGTTGTGCTCATCCTGCAGGGGTGCCTGCTCAGCCTTCTGGTCCCTCCCACTGGAACTGGATATCCTCCAGGGCCAGTGCCTGCGGGGTCGTCAGGTCATTGCTCCATCCTGGTGAGAAAACACTGCTGATCCCATCACCGCTGAGCCAGTTCTGCCCTCCAGCCCCCTTGCAGAATGGAGCAGGACCCGCCATCTCTGCAGAAGCTGATCACCTCATCTTCCTCGGGTGAGACACTGATGGGTTCAAATCAACCCTTTTGGTTAGCAGCCAAGTGCTTAAGCACTGCACCACCAGGGCTCCTTGATAGAGGAATTGTCGCTGTGGACACTGGTCCTAGGTGACCCTCCAGCAGGCTTTCAGAGGCATGGGATCACATGGGAGGAGCAGCTGGTGGATTTGAACTGGGTGACCCTCTATGAGGTGGATTGATTCAGTGACTGGGGCCATCGGGGTGGGTGTGTCAGAGGCAGTGCGATTGGCGCAGGATAGAGCAGGGTTTAGGGCTCCTGTACACAGGGTCGCTATGAGTCGCAAGCAACTCGACGACGGCACACAACAACAGCCTTCAGGTTGGCAGCATGACTCCTTACACAAACAGATTGCCACGAGAATTACTGGAGATTCTCAGCTGAGAGAACATGAGTCAGTGAATGGAAGTGAAACTTGGAAGCTTCCAGTCCCGTCAAGGTCGAGTCCAAGGACACCATCCACTCTGCCTGCTGGGGACGTGCGTTGTATCCCTTGGTCCCCCACACAACCCCAGCGCCTGAACTTGTGACAAGTGCTGTTTGTCCCTCTTTGTTGTGAGCTGTGGTCAAGTTTCACAATGAAACACTACCCCGGCCTGTGCCTTCCTTCTGAGTGGCTACAGACACCTGACGGCGAAGGCTTCCACAGCAGATGGCCTGGCCTTTCTTCCTAGTCTTAGTGTGGAAGCCAGCTGACACGTATTGAGCATCACAGCAGCACACAAGCCCCAAGCCCCACGCCCTGCTTGCAGGAACGTGATAATTGCACCAGGTGCACTGGCTGGAATCCAACCATGGCCTCCCACATGGAAGGGGAAGATTCTCCCACTGGCTCTGAAACCTCCTGTGGTTGTACCATTGAGTCAGAACGACCCCTAGCTGACCCTCTGGCGGGCTTCCAGAGACAGTTAATGACACAGGAGGAACTGGCCGTCCTCCCATGAGCGGCTGGCGATTCAACCGCGTGCCTCTGGGATTGCAGCGCAGCTTCTTGCCACTAGGCTTCCAGAGCTCCCTAAAGCCTCCTAGTGAAACAAAACAGACCCCCAGACCGTCATGGACAGATTAATAATTTTATTAATGAGAACCTACATTCACACTGTGCGTTTCTACGATTTACACACCAGAGAGCAGAGTCTATGTACATGCAGTGGACTGGCCACAGCCACGGGTGACCAACAGCTCCGTCAGGACTGTGACAAGGCCTGCGTTAAGTACAGAATTCTCTCACCCCCACCCCCGCTCAGCGGAACCCACTCTTCATCTGGTAAGGAGTATAAAATTGCATTGATAACTGCGCTGATTGACGAGACACTGAAGACCCACAACAGCCCAAGGACACCGAGCGCTGACACGTCACGCCCACGAGACAAGTCGGTGGTCCCGACGGCAGTCTGGCTGCGACCTGTGATGATGGCGGCGGGCTGCGGCATTTGATTGGAAGCCACGTTTCCCCCCCAAAGCTGATGACTTTGAGTCATAGAGGGAACAGGGGAGAGTGGTTACTGTGGTTGCTATTTTTGCAGCTTATTTTCCTTTCTTGTTTTTAGAAGGGGGAGAAACATCTTTGGTCCGTTTCAGTGGGATTTTTACATTACAAAATATACATCCATAAGAGATGCCTATGTTGTTTAGCAAGCGTCACATCTGCACATGGCCGCTCGTGGCACCTGACGGCAGAAACCCAGGGAGACAGCCCCACAGCAAGAACCAAAGTGGTCACGAGAATAAATACAGTTAAAGCTGCGGGTGTGCAAGCTTGTCATGGCGGCCCGGAGCCATGGGAATGCCGTTCCTGGACACCTGTTTGCTGCATCCAATACTGAAGGACGGTCAGCGCGTTACTGTGTCTGGTGGGTCCAGCTTGGCGAGGACGTTGTGCCTGGTGGTGGCCTGACACCCCTGGAGTGGTAGTCTCTCTCCCAAGGTGGGATCAAGGATGCCTGGCTTTGCTCCTTTCTTGGGGTAAGTCTTAGGCTCTCCTCACTGGCTGCCTGGGTAAGCTACCGCATCCCCAAGGCACACGTTCTAGTTTATTCTCTGGGGAACCCAGGACACACTGTCCTTCTGTCCCTGGATTGTTGCCTCTTAGTTCTGGTACTCAGTTGTGTAAGGGAGGCCTTCCAATGAGGGGACCCAGCACAGCTGCCTCCAGAAGGGTCTTGATATGGGTGGGTAGGAGGCAACCACTGGGGAAAACAGATTGGGGGCTGTTTGCACTCAGTTCGACTGAGGAGGGAGTCACACACTCAATTCCACAAGAGATCCGTCACAGTCTCCCATGGATTTAGGGCCTTTTGTGTTTAAGGCACTGGGTTTTGAAGACATACCAGGTCAGGAAAACTACAGACGTGACCACTACTTGCCAAAAACAGCAGCAGCAAACACTGAATGCCTGACCGGAGAAGGGCAGGGCTGCCCTGGGGACAGCCTGTGCTGGAAGCACGCTCAGCTAGCAAGGGACTTTGCTCTCAGAGCAAACACACAGACGCTCTGGAAAGAGATGCCCTTGAGGCCCAGCTATGCAGCCACCACCCAGGGGGCCTGTGGCTTCTGCTTCCACCAGATGTGAAGTCACATTCCAGTCATTCAACAGACACCGACGATGCCCTGACTTTCGGGGGACTTGAGCACAGGTCCTGGAGAGACCCCTCAGTGGTGCAAAGGCATGGCCGAAAGTGGCAGAGTTAGACTTCACACGGCGGAGGCTACTATTCTAGAGAAACAAAAATGACAAACCCTTGCCACAAAGACTTCTGTGGTTTTTTTGGAAGAGCAATTCCCCCCCTAAACTACCCTCAGGATTAATATGGACTTTTTGTTTGGTTTTCGTGAGAAGAGCTCACTCCCTCCGCAGCAGCACAGATGGAATTACTTTTTAGAGTTAGAACTGAACCCAATGAGGCTGATGATGTCCGCCATGGCTTGCTTCAGGTGCTTCCCAAATCGGTGAGAGTCCTGGAATTTGACAGCAAAGAGAAAAACGACCATGAAAATGTGCTCGTGTCCACGGCGCATGCCGTCTCAAGTCTGTTCAGTTCTAACTCGGCTTCACGTGGCTGGAGGAGCGGGTGGCTTGCCGGGGATCAGCAGCTCATGTGTCTGTGGGCTGGGCCTTTAATCGGAAGGGCTCGCTGATGCCACTGCGTTACACAAAGCAGACAGGAGCAAACGAGCACCTATTTCCTGTCAGCAGTGGAGCTGACACTGTCAGGAAGAACAGTGTAAGGGTTTCTGGGCCATGTTCTGAGGAAGACATCCCACCCTCAAAAAGATGTCATCTGTCACCAAACAGGAACTATTTTAAACTGAATAACATCTTTCTTTAAAACTAGGGTTAGAGAGTTTGAAAGTCATTGATAACATTTTTAAGCCAAGAAAAAGCAGATGATGGAACGTAAAAGACGATGTCAACTTAAAAGACACGCTTGCCTTCTCTGAAGAGGGACCTCTCCTACTTACGGTCTCAGGGCAGGAGAACTTGGAAGATATGTGGAAGTTGATGAGGTTCTCTCCCACAAGGATGTAGGACACCCCGTAACCATCGTCAGCGACCTGTGCAAGACGAGAGGTTTCAGCCCAGTGCTGGGAAATGAAGCCACACGAGAGGCAGCCTTTCTAAGTTCTTAATGCCACCCCTCCTGCCATGCTGTGGTGGCCGGGTGTGGCTGTGGAACTGGAAGCCACATCCTTGGGGTTTCAAACACCAAGGTTAACCCAAGGTTAACCAGTGTCAGTGGAGCTTCCTGACTAAGACAGACTAGGAAGACAGGCCAGGTTTACTTGTGAAAATCAGCCAGCAAACCCCCCTGGCTCAGCAGAGCACACGTCTGAGCATGCTGGCTGATGAACCCCTAGGATGGAAGGGATCAGGAAACACAATGCCTGTGGGTTCTCAGACGCCAAGGGCGTGAAGATGGCACAGGCTGGGCAACGTGCCGTGGTCGTGAAGTACAGCAACAGCGTCTTAAACCCAAGGCTGCCACCAGATCGGTGGCTAATCCTCCAGCCAGGACCAGCAATGGCTCGAGAAGTGCTCAGGGCCGAGGCGGCCTGCACAGGGAGGCACCCGCTCTACTTACCGGGCCAAAGCCCCCGCCGCTGGACACATATTCTGGATTCCTCTCCAGGTCGAACAGCTCCACTTGCTGCTGAGGGGTCTGGCTGGTTGACAACCTCCAAGGCTCAGATAAGACCTGGTGAGCGAAACACAGACGGCAGAGTCAGGAGGCGTTCTGGCAGCACCGTCCTCAGCTGGGCTCTGCACTCGGGCCTCGTGGGAGACAGAAGCCTGGTCCCCGCTTCTGACTGCTTGACACGGAAAGGCAAGGGCCCTGCCTTCCCCGGGCTCTGAGCACTGCTCTGAGCAGAGAGGGCACCACCCGGTGACTGATGTCGCCTTCCAGGAGGCAGGGACAGTCACCCCTCAAGGTCCTTCAGGGAGAGCGTCTAGATCCCAGGTCCTTTGTATGAAACGTGTAGGAGTCACACACACCTTCCCACATCCTTCTGTTTACTTTCAACCATCCTGACAGAGCTACACAGCAAAGGTGCCGCAGGGAAGACCCCGGTGCACCTGACTGAGACCTTGGTCTCTTCACATTCCTGCATGTGAAAGTCGGGCAGTGAGTGCGGAGGACGGGAGAACGGTGTCCTTTGCACCATTGTGCTGGCAAAGACTGAATGTGCCCCAGACTTTTAGAAGAGCGGCTGTGGGACCTCATCCCGCATCCTCGGAGCATCTAGCCTATCAGGAGGCAGCCCCTGGAGGACAAAATACTGGTCGAGGGTCAGGAAAAAAGCCCGTCAGCCAGGCGGCTCAGACAGTGAACCTGTGAGGCCAGCAGGGGCCGGGCAGGACTTTGTTCTGATGAACAAACACAGTGTCACTTGGCGTTGGAACCGCCTGAGGAACCCTCAGTGACACACACTGTACATGGTGCGCAAACTGGCCTTTACGCTCCCGCTCGGCCTTGGAGGGATTGCTGGGGCTTCATTTTTGCTTTCTGGGTTTTTTTCTGTGTATTTTGGATCCATGATTTGCCGGCTGGCTCTACAGATATGGAATTGTACATACCAAGAGCCGACTGGACATCAGTCACATGAGACGGGACAGAGGTGTGGCTGGCTGGCAAACAGCCATTTAAAAAAATTAACTTACTAGAAAAGGGATGAAAAACATTCGGGATGAACTGGCAGTTTTCGTGCGGTCCTCTATGACCATGCTCCTGAGATTATGTCTGTGTCGTCAGAGGAGAGCAGCGGCTGTGACTTGGCGGTGGAATTCTCGCCTCCCATGACGGAGACGCGGGTTTGATTCCCACCCAGCGCACTTTATATGCGGCCATGATTAGTGGAGGCTGGCGGCTCACCACCGTAAACAGGTTCCGGCACAGCCTCTGGACTAAGAGTAGGAAGAAAGGTGTGGCGATCCACGGGCAAAAATTCAGCCTGTGAACACTGACCACAGCTCTGTCTGCGCATGCGTGGGCCGCAGGCAGTCTGGGCCGGTTCAATGGCAGATGGCAACAGTGGTAATTTGTTGCTGTGTTGTGTGGACACTGTTGAGCCGTGAGACCTCCTGCTGACAGAGAGGAACTGCCTTTCGGCCTTTTCTCTTTATCCTGCAGTAATTTCTTCCCCCTCCCCTTTTTTTTTGTTGTTGACTCGGCCTTTTCTTGGCTGTTCCTTTTCTGGGAGCAGATTGCCAGGCCTTTCTTGCATGGAATCACTGGATGGGTCCAAATGCCAACCGCCTGGTTAGCCGTCGAGTGCTTAAATGCTGTGCCACTGGGGCTCCTGGTGGGAGAAGAGGTGCCTCACCTCCTTGAGGAACGGGGAGTCGACAGCCAGGTACTTGGACACCACATAGAGGCAGAAGAGATGGCGGTCAATGCCAGCCCCGGTCATCGCCTGACGGTACAGCAGCTGGTGCTTCTCAGAGGCGATCTTGAAGAGCTTGAGCCGCTGCTCTACCTGCGACACAGAATGGGAGAGGCACGTGCGGGCTGTGGGCAGGTCTGAGCCCCCAGTGGGCCTTTGCACAGCCACCCGCCTGGGGGTCCCCTGGGGAGACAAGCAGGGCACTCTGTGGTGCCCAGTGACCACCTGCCCTTCCACACTACCACGTTGTTGGGCCCTGTTTGCTGTGTCCCCTGATGCCCACACAGCGTCATTTCATGTTCTCACGAATGAGCTCACCCTGAAGGCCAGGAAGCTCAAACATCAACTCAATGTCTGTCCCGACTCCAACAGTGTGTGTGAGAGAACAGAACTGCGTGCTGCGGGGTTTGGGGCTCTGTTTCTGACACACACAGAGGCACACCTCATTTTCTTGTGCACCAGACACTGCTGTTTTCAGACGGAAGGTCTGGCAGCCCCGTGTGAGGAAGGTTGTGGGGCTATTTTCCTAACTCCGTGGGATTACTTCCCATCTCAGTGCCTCCTTCAGGTTATTCTCCCACTAGGTCACACTTTTCATCAGACATGACTAATGACCCGCAGTCTAACGTAAACACAACCTTCATAAGCACAGGAAGCCCACACCATCCGTGTGACACGTGTCATGGTGCCAGCTGACTTATGGGGGTGGCCTGGAAGAGAAGCTACAGTCTGAGATTGCCTGACATTTCACTGGGGTTTTGGTCCAAGTTCACACTGGAGACATGGTGACACTTCACAGGTGTCCGTGTACCCGTGAGGGCCCTGGATCTCATCCAGCCCTGGCTGCCCTGTCTCCTTCACGTCTGCTTTACAGCAACAGCTGACCATTTGACAGCACAGGATATTCAGGACGGCTTAGAGCAGATCTCCTGGTCTTTGTTCTGAGGGGCCTCTGGATGGTCTCAAACCGCCAACCTTTGGGCTAGCAGCAGAGTGTGGTTTTACTACCAAGGACTCTTTTGTTAGGTTTTAACAAACCTCTCATTCCATTGTCTGAAAATAGAGCTACATCCCGTCCCTCAGTGCCTCTGTGGGCTGTATGCTACCCTCCGTGGGGTCTGACTAATGGCTACATTAGACAGCACCCTGGGTCTTCCCATCTGATCCCAAGAAGCTGCTTTAGGCTCCATTCGGCTCTAAGTAAACCCCCGGGCAGGAAACGGCGAGGCTCTGAGCCACCCCTTCAAGAGCTGGGTTTCACGTTGGCTTTGTCTTTTCATCTGCAAAGCAGTGACAACCCTGCCATAAATATTCTTCCACTGGGCTGCTAACCAAAAGATCAGTGGTTTGAATCCCCTTGCCACTCCATGGGAGAAAGATGAGGCCATCTGCCCTTGTCTCAGAAACGCTGGAGGCTCACCTGAGACAGAACTGAGCTAGTGACACTGGGTTTGGTCTGGGGGTCCGTGCCCAGCTGGTTTCTGAGAGTTTTCATTATAAACAGGAGTAACCCAAACAGAATGTGTGGGGTACTGTCCCATCTGAACACTGCCACTTTTCCACGGGCACACGGACCAACTAGAAGACCCAGGGGCACACACCCTTCGTGACCCACACCCTGCAGAGGTAGTAGCGTCAGGCTCTTGGAACCTTTAGAGAGGCCATCTAAATTACAACTATCAGTCTCTCCTTGTCGGAAGCAAATGAGAGAGAAAGCAGTCTCAGTGGAGAAATGAATCTACAGGACAGGTAAGTCTACACAAACCCCGGCTTCATCTACCCGGAGACCAGAGTGACCAGATGGTGCCCGGCTGCCCTGAGACCAGAGGAACCAGATGGTGCCCAGCTACGTGGAGTTCAGATGAACCAGAGGGTGCCAGCTGCCACCACTGATGATTGCCAACCATCTGATCATGGCCATAACAGATGGACCTCCATAGAATGGGAGAAAAACTAGGGATAGGACTTCAGTTCTTAAGAAGTCCAGATGTTAAAACAACTATGAGATATCATCTCACCCAAGTAAGAATAGCAAAATTTAACGGAACAGCAAGCAACACATGCTGGCGAGGTTGTGGAGAAACTGGAACCCTTATTCACTGTTGGTGGGAGTGTAAAATGGTGCAACCCCTGTGGAAAGCGGTATGGCACTTTCTCAAAAAGTTGCAAATAGAAATACCATTTGACCCAGCAATTCCATTACTGGGAATATATCCCAAAGAGACCATAACTGACATCTAAGCAGATATACGCACACCCATGTTTATCATGGCTTTGTTCACAATAACAAGGAGTTGGAACAACCTAAGTGCCCATCAACAAACAAATGGATAGAGAAGCTGTGGTATATTCACACAATGGATTACTACGCTGCACTGAAAAATAAGGAACTCATGGAATATTATTAAAAATGGGTGACCCTGGAAGACATTAGGCTGAGTGAATATCTCAGTCACAAAAGGACAAATACTGCATGGTGCCACTGTTGTAAAACAGGACTGACCTCGGGGTTGGGGGGAGACTAAGAAGGATGGGTTTAATAATGTATACTGCATTGAAACAGATGAGGGAGAAAACTGTCTAAAAGGGATATGTGATTAGGTATTTTTGTCATGACGGGAGTCCAGAATAAAGGCTGCATAGCGTAGGAGACCTGGGGGGAGGGTTTGTAAAACAATGAAAGAATTTTTCCTTTACTTTTCAAAGACAAGAGTGTACTGGAGGTGGTGGGGGAAGGGGTGGGCAGGGAGTAAAGTGCAACAGTGAATGGATGGAAATCTGGAAATCCAAAGTATAAATTTTCATTAAAATTAATAATAAAAAAAAGAAAAAAATTTAAAAACCCCTTAAAAGTAGGAAAAAAAAAAGTCCAGACTTAATGGATCAGTTGATGCAGCCAGTCTTTAAATCCTGAGTCACAACTATCCCTAGAGGTCACCTTTATGTGAAGTACCAGATGGGCTCACAAAGGACAGAACCCACGGGTACAGTGCTCCTTTGAAAAAAACCTGTGGATGGGGCCAACGGGTCAGCAGTTAGTGTCCAGCAAAGATGAGAAGGGAAAGGGGTCAAGGAAACCAGAGCTTCAGAAACCACCCTCAGGACGGACTTAATGCGAATGTGCACACACTGTGGAGAAGGCCGCCAGTGTCCCTCAATCATTGGTGTGGAAACCGTCAAATAGAAACCGAGCTCTCTGTGTGAACTTCCCCCAAAACACAGCCAAGTGGGAAATCGAACCCAAGTTGGGGAGTGGTAGCTGGAGAATGGGTGTGTGGTCGGTCCTGGACGCAGGCGCCCGCCCACGTGTGTGAGAGGAGGGCATATCCCGTCCTTTGTGGAGCGGGCAGCGGTCCAGCTCAGTGCACTCACCGTCTGGTGCGGGTCCACCATGGCCAGCACGAAGTTGCAGGACTCGGTGGTGCAGGAGCGCACGGTCTCTGTCCTCCCCTCTCGGAAGAGTCGGGTCATGGAGGCCTCATATGTCAGGCAGAACTTGCCCATGTCCTAGAAAAGGAGGAGAGTGTCAATGCCAGGCCGAGTGCAGCCCCAAACCCGGGGCTGGACAGGGTGTGGGTCAGGGTCAGTAGGGAGCCGACGTGCCTGTGGAGCCAGGTTTAGTCACTGTCATTTCACATGCGGTTATGTCACAGCACGTGGAGGTGTCCCTTCTAATCAGGAGGGGCTCAGGGCAGGAGTAGGGAGTCCAGTTGCCAGGTAACCCCGGTTTCCACTTGGAGATGCCAGTTTCTGGGCGTCACACACCTCAATCCCATCCCCTTGGGACTCTATCTCAGATACTCTGGGCACATAATCAGAAGGGCCAGTGCCTCGACAAGGACACCACGCTCAGAAAAGGAGAGGAAGATGGTCAGCAAGGTGGCCACACGAAGGGCGGGGCACACAGAGCCCACGGATGGCAGGGGGCTGGGCAGGGTTTTGGCCTCTACGTGAGGCCACCAGGAGGAGGACATGACCACAGTGGGAAAATGAACACATAAAGCAGTGACGGGGCCTCCGCTCACACTGCCCGGGGCAGCAGGAGGGACTGATTGCTGGGAAGGGACATGGAGGGTCAGGGGAAATGAGGGACGCCCCTCCATGAGGTGGACCGGCAGGGTGGCTGCAACCGTGGAGTCAAGCATGGCAACAGTCCTGAAGATGGTACAGGACTGGGTGGCATTGCCAACCTCTCCATGGACGGCGAGGGTCAGGCGTCTGGTGCTGGGCAGCACTGCCAAGCCCTCCATGGACGGTGGGGGTCAGGCGTCCAGTTTTGGGCAGCGCTGCCAACTCTCCACGGACGGAGAGGGTCAGGCGTCCAGGGCAGGACGTGAGCGGGTGGTCTTGTCTGCAGCATGTGGTTCCTGCACTGAAGTCGCCTTGGTGCCCGCTCTTAGCTCTTCCCTCAATGGTTCAGCACTGAACGCCCTCGGGGCTGGGGTCCCAGGCACCCTAACTCCTCCTCCCACCCCAGTCACAGGTGATAAACACCCTTTCTGAGAGTCTTCCTGCCTCCCGACAACATGCATCTTCAGAGGGCTTATGGAGGGGGTGGGGAAAGCACAGGGTCAGCGTAACCCGGTGTTTTAGTCATTTAATAAAGGTTAACCTGGAATGTCCAGTGCAAGGATTCCACACCCAGTGAGACCCAGGGCCGGCCTTTACAGTCTTTAACCCCGGAGCCGTCACACCACCATGCATGGCCCCCACACTGTAACGCCCATCCGCGTAGCCGGTCTGGACACGCACACCCACGTTAGTGTGAGAACCCCACCCAAGCTGAGGCCCCATCAGGACGTCTAGCCTGGTTAGCGTCTGCAGACCACTTAACCTGCTGCTATCAGCTGTCGAGAGAAGGGGAGGCCGCTGATGTCCCTGCTGAGACAGGCCAGGCTCTAGGGAGTGAAACCAAACACAGTGGACAAAGAGCTGAGGCTGGGGGGCCGAATGCAAACCCGGACTCCCACCCCCAGGCTGGGGTGGTGGGCCTGGGGAGCATGCTGCAGTTTCCTGTGATGGGGCACCTTCTGAGGGCTTTCCCAGGAGTCCAGTACCTCCTGAGGGCCTTCCCAGGGGGCCAGCACCTCTGAGAGCCGTCCCAGGAGGGCCAAAGGCCTTCCCAGGGGGCCAGCACCTCCCGAGGGCCTTCCCAGGGGGGCAGCACCTCCCGAGGACCTTCTTAGGGGGGCAGCACCTTCCGAGGGCCTTCCCAGGAGGGCCAAAGACCTTCCCAGGGGGCCAGCACCTCCCGAGGGCCTTCCCAGGGGGGTGGCACCTTCGAGGGCCTTCCTGGGAGGGGTGGCTCCACAGAACCCTGTGCCCCACACCAGAGTCAGAATCAGTTTCATGGAAAGGATCTTTGTGTTGCTTTTAAAAAAAATCTTGGTATCATGAAACTTGTAAAAATACCTGTGGGGTCTGGGGGACGGGAAACCAGCTGGCAAATGCAGAGGTGCCTGCCTCCCGTTCCAGCCTGTGTGGTACCAACGTGGCACTTGTGACGGGCGCATCACCTACCAGCCTGGCCAGGCCATGATGCCCAGTGGAGTATGTGCGCCTTCCATCCTGTGACCCACTCTGTGATCTGAGTATCCTCCATTGTTGTTACATGCCATCGAGTCACCTGCGAGTCATAGTGAACCTATGGACAAATCTCTGAACCCTGTCCTAGCCCGAGCCAGTCTCACTGTCTCTGACACACCTGCCCCCATTACCCTGTTACTGTGTCAATCCATCTCATACGGGGTCTTCCTCTCCTGCGCTGTCCCTCCACCCTTCCAAGCATGATGTCCTCCTCGAGGGACTGGTCCCTTCTGGCCACATGCCCCAAATATGTAAGACGGAGCCTCAAAATCCTTGCCTCTAATGAACAACTTGGTTTCACCCTCTCCAGGACAGACTTGTTTGTTCTCTTTGCAACTCATGGTATGTTCAAGGCTCTTCTCCAGTACCACAGCTTAAAGGCATCGATAATCCTATAATCCTTATTGTCCAGCTCTCTGATGCATAGTAAGGAACCGGTGCACCTTAGTCTCCAGACTGACACTGTTGCTCTTTTGCACTCTGCAGAAGTTCCTGACAGCACATTTTCCCACTGCAATTTGTCTTTTACTTTCCTGACTGCTGGTGCCAAGGGTGCTGATTGTGAAGCCAAGCAAGCTGAAACTGTTAACAATTTCAATATCTATCAGTGCTACCACTTGGCCCCGTGGTGAGAATTTTTGTCTTGATGATGAGTTTCAATCCATATTGAAGACTATCATCCTTTACTTTCTGCAGCAAATGTTTTAGGTCCTCCTCAGTTTCTGCAATCAAGATTGCGTCATCTGCAAGACAGATTCCTCCAATCCTAATGTCACATTCCTCCTCATAAAGTACAGCCTCCTATATGATCTGTTCTGCACATAGACTGAAAAGGTATGGAGACAGGACGTAACCCTGACACACTCCTTTCCTGATTTTAAACCATGCAGTGTTTCCTTGCTCTGTTCTGAGGACTGCTTCTTGGTCCAGGTACAGGATATGCATGAGCACAAACAGGTGTTCTGGGATTCCCATTCTTCTCAATATTAGCCACAGCTTATTGTGATCTACACAGTCAAAAGCTTTTGCATAGTCAATGAAACAAGATAAATATTCCTAAGGTACTTTCTGCTTTCAGCCAAGATCCATCTGACATTGGCTATAAAGTCTCCAGTGCCACAGTCTCTTAAAGACAGACCTACGTTGGCCCTAGTGGCCAGAAAGTTATGCTACCGAGCCCAAGGTGGGTGATTTAATCTGCGGCCCTCAGGCCTGGTTTAAATTGGTTATTTTGGTCAAACATTCTTTTTTTTTTAATTTAGGTTGTTTATTTTTCATTTCAATGAACATCTACAGAGATTTTGGGATTCCATTCATTCATTGTTGCACCCTTCTCCCCGCACCCCCCCCCCCCCCCCCCCCCCCCCATTTGCTCCTCTCCTTGAAAAGCAAAAGAAAAACTCCCTCATTGGTACACAATCCCCCCCCCCTCCGGCACCTCCCCGGTGCAGTGCTGTGCAGAGGTAACTCGTGGTTGCTGTGATGCTGAACACTGTGAAACTGATGTGCCAAATGTGATAATGGTTACCCACGGTGGACAGGGTTTGGTGGAGCTTCCCGGTTAAAACAAACTGGGAAGCAGGAGTGGCATCCACTTGTGAAATGGCTTGCCTCTGGAAACTCTATGAACAGTGCTCAGTTCTTTCATTCAGTCAGGTCACTGTGAGTCGTCTATGACTTGATGGCACTTAACAACAACAACAACATATTTCTGGTAGCTCTCGAATAATGTACTGTTCCAAGCATTTTTGGATAATCTTCAGCAGGATTTTGATTCTGTGATATTCTATAATTTAAATACTCTTGTGGGATCACCTTTTTGGGGAATGGAAATAAATATGGGTTTCTTCCAGTCAGTTGGCTGGGTAGTTGTCCTCCAGATTTCTTGGCACAACCTGGTGAGCATGTCCAGGGCAGCATCTGTTTGCTGAAATACGTCAATTGGTGTTTCATCAGTTACTGGGGCGTTATACTTTGTCAATTCCTTCAGAGCAGCTTGAACCTCCTCCTTCATCACTATTGCCTCTTGGTCCTATGTTATTTCATGAAATTCTTCTGTAGCTTTTTGGTACAGTGACTGCTGCATTTGTATAATCATGACCTCCGAATGTGAGTGAGGCAGGGGTACGGTGGGCACATCTGGAGTCTCACCCTTACTCAAGAGTAACATGCATTCTACCTGGGGGTGACATTCTTAGGGGGTGACAGCTAACCAAAGGTGGTACCTCTCTGCCGGTGTGAATCCCCCAGCAGCTCCTGGAGAGAAAGATGGGCCATCTCTTCCTGTTAGATGTACAGCCTCCTGAGGACCTGCTGGAGGGTCACCCAGGAGCTGTTTCCAACTCTAAGGCAGTGAATTTAGAGGGTGGATATAGGTGAGCACACACTTACCTGGTCTGGCCTCTCTATCGAACCTAGACCAAGACACCCCATTTCCTGAAGTTATCTTAAGATCAAGTAGTTAGCACCTAAACAAACAAGCAAATAAACAAACAGCCTACCTGGAGCATAATTACCAGCTCCGGTGACATACTGGTTATGTGTTAGCCTGCTAACCAAAAGGCCAGCAGTTCTAATCCACCAGCTAGCTGTTCTTTGAGAACAAGATGAGGTAAACTACCCTGAAAAGATGTACAGCCTCTTACACGCAACACAAGAGCTTGAAGAAATCCTGTGAACAAACAGGGCCTCACCAAGCCGTGCCTCAGTGACTTCCCACTCCGTGGGGAGCCAACCCTTGGGGTGCAGCACACTCTCTGACAGCAGACAGCCCCACTGCCCCCCTTGCTATCTGGGTTTCAGTCTCCACAGGTCCAACAAGGCCTCACTGGACTCTCTCCAGCTCTCCCCTCTGCCAATGCCAGGCCAGCACATGGAGACCACAGGGGCCTGCAGACCCTGGAGGCTGCCCTCCTGGCCAGGTCTCGGGCCCCTCCCCACCACCAGATGTGTGTTCCAAGAACCCCAAAGACTCTACTCAAACCCAGACTCCATCCATACCTTGTAATGGGCGAGCTGCAGGGCCAGCTGGACAAAGGCATCCGGGCTGGTCCGCGACTTCTTGATTGCACCTTTCCCGAAGGCGTCAAACGGGAAAGAGTGAAAATCGACGTCGTTGGCCAGGAGACTTGCAGCGTTGAGGGATGTCTCTATCACCTCTTGACACTTCGGAAAAAGAAGACAGTGGTTTCACTCTGAGGGGCACAGAGACCCACCCTCGGGAGTCAGTCAGGAGTTTCCAGCGAGTGCCTTGTTAATGGTCTGCATCCTCTCAAGATAAGGGTTGCAAACAGTACCGTCTACGCATATAATCCCACCCGGCAACAGGGCTTGTGATGTTAAGGAAGCAGTATTAGTGCTGGGATGTTTTAGATCAGCCTCTTTTGAGATATGAAGAGTAGATAAGCATGGAGGGGGCAGCGAAGAGAAGGGCACGCACGGCACAAGAAGACCCACAAGGGCTCCGGCGCGGAAGCCGAGACAGAGACCAGGACCTGTCCCTGGGTGACAGGAGTGGGCCTTCGCTTTGAGTTCTAGCCACCACCTACTGAAAAAGACCAACGACTACAGCCTTCAAGATGAATTACAGCTCAGCATCAAGAAAACAGAAGTCCTCACCACTGCAACAGGCAACATCCTAATAGCTGGTGGAGACTGAAGATGCCAAAGATTTCATTTTCCTTGGATCCACAATCAACACCCAGTGAAGAAATTCAAAGATCTAATCCACTGGGCAAAGCTGTTGTCAAGATGTCTTTACAGTGTTAAAGAGATGTCAGCTTTAAGACTAAGGGGCATCTGATCCGAGCCATGGCATTTTCAACTGCTTCATACGCATGTGAAAGTGGGGACAGTCAAGAAGGAAGATGGAAGAAAAACTGAAGGCTTCGGATGGCGGTGCTGTCGAAGAATCCTGAGTATATGTAGATTGTGGAAAGAATTAACGTGTCTTGAGAAGTGCATCCCCAGGGCTTCTTGGCAGAAAGATGGTGAAACGTAGCCTCACATACACTGAGCATGCGGTCAGGGGGAACCTTCCTTGGAAAATGCCATCACGCTGGGAAAGCTGAGGGTCAGGGAAGGAGAGGAAGACCTCGAGGGGACAGCCTGCGCAGTGACGCAGCAGGCGCGCAGCATGGTGGAGGGCCAGGCCCAGTTCCACCTGCTGCTCACAGACGGGCCACTGTGAGGTGTCGTCCACTTGAGGACACCCAACAGCCACGACAAACTGGCGGCACAGCGGCTTACATAAGGGGCTGACCACCGACAGGTCAGCAGTTTGACTCCACCATTCACACCATGAGAGAAAGATGAGCAGTCCCCTCCCAGAAGGCGGACAGGCGTGGAAGCCTGAGGGAGGGTCTGCGAGGAGGGGCTGAACGCAGCGGGCTGGGCTCGGTTAAACGGTGAGAACACAAATTTCAGCTCCTGAAACCGGCCCACTGGTGATCTCAGTGCTGCAGAAGCACTGAGAACGAAGATGGACGCTGAAGCAAGACACTGCACTGCAATCCCAGAGGTACGTGGTTCAAATCCACCAGATGCTCTGCTGGAGAAGGAGGAACAATCGCCTCCTGTACCAGTCAGATCCGATTTGACTGTACACGTAAAAAATAAAACAATAAAAATAAATGAATGAATGAATGAAGATGGACGCTGAAGGGAATTTCAAGGAGTTGCTGGTTTTGTCGGGGAAGCCCATCGCCGCTGTAGGTGGCAATGGAAGAGGCAATTTTATTTTTTTTTGTGTGTTCATGAAATGTGCATTTCTTTAATGTTTTTTAATAAAAATGTAGATGAAAACTCATTTGTACTTAATTATTTCTCACATCATCTTCACCGTGAGCAGGGGACAAGCTAAATAATAGCCATTTATGAATAAGAGCTCTATGATCTAGTGGGTAAGGAGTTGTGCTGCCAATCCAAAAAAAAAAAAAGGCAGTTTGAATCTACCAGTAGATCTGTGGGCTAAAGATGGGGACTCTCCTCTCATGTGACTTTTTTTTTTTTGCATGAAGCCCTATTTTACTTTTCAGTAAGTAGTGATAGGATAGACACAGAATGAGAGAATATATATTCAGGAAGCTCAGCGAACACCATATAGATTCGACCCCAAAAGAAAAACATCAAGGCATATCATAGTTAAATTTGCCAG